ACCTCAATAAACGAAATCAATCAATCAATCAACCAGTCATCCCCATTTTATGCGTTTTAGTACGAGGGGTAACGACTCGAAATGTTTGTGTACACAGGAGAACAGAGTACGCGGAGCACAGGTGGAGTACGCGGAGTACCCGGAATACACCCGGAGTACTCGGAGTACACTCGGAGAACTCGGAGTACACTCGGAGTACACTCGGAGTACGCGGGGTACACCTACATTTCCGCGGAGTACACCTACATTTCCCCGGAGTACAGCCGGAGCACAAAAATGTATTGCGTTTGTAGAAGGTTTTGGGGTGCCGTGTAGATAGGCAACCAAATCAACACCTGTGTCGTGCAGGCCTCCGTAACCCTCGCTCGACGCGTTGTCAACGCCATCTCTCGACTTACTCCTAAACCAACATAGTCAACAGTGGCACCGCGGCATCGCTGTCTTGACGCCGTCAATATTTCTAAACCGAAGCCGGTTGTACAGAGAAGAAGTGTGATTCCGTTGTTTGACTTTTACGAATTGTGCAAGCCGCAACCAACAATTTCTGTTTCTAAACTGTAATTGCCTGCTGATGACCGTCGACCGTTAGCCCCGAACAGATCGCATTCGGTCTGAGAAAAGCAACTAAGCCAAAAGAAAGTACATAAAATTGTTGCATACACTTGTGTGTTTTCTACAGAATTTTTCAGAGACCACTCGCCCTTGAAACAGAAAGGTACTCATACTCGTAAAAAGTTGCACCTTTTATTATTTCTCTATCATTTGCAAATGTTTAATCAATATTTCATTATTTGTCATGACAGGTTATGTTGACCAGCTCATAGTTTGATAAAAAGAAAAACAAATCGAAGACAACGAAAATATACTTTGTTCTCACGATGTCATGTTATCCTAGACGTTATCCGGGACAGTGTAATTGAAAATGACAAACGAATGAACAATGAACGTACCTTCCTTAGTATCAGTTAGGTCAGCAAAACAACATATTTGGAGTTTTATATAATTGTTTCATTCACTCCAGCTCTTTCGTTCAGCTATTTAATTGTATTCACTCTTGCTTTCTTCTTATGTTCTAGAGAATGGAACAGTGGACATCAGAGTTACTAAGTAGAGGTTCTGGCTGCTATGAACAAAACAAGAAATTATCACGGTTTGAAAGGAAACATAGAAGAAATATGGAATGTACAGCAAACCATGTTATTTTGGTGTGGAAACA